GCATTGCATAGTATACCATTGTGTGTATGTACCATAGTTGGTGGACATCTAGGTTGTTTCCATGTTTTGGCTATTGTAAATACTGAAAAGCAGCAGTTCTTAATTTTAATTTAATCCAATTTATTATTTTTTTCTTTTATGAACCATTCTTTTGGTGTTAAACTCAAGAAATCTTTGCCTAATCCAAGGTCACAAAATTTTTCTCCTATATTTTCCTCTAGAAGTTTTATAGTTCTAGCTTGACGTTTAACTGTGTGATCCACGTTGAGTTGCTTTGCGTATGGTTCCAGGTATGGATCAAACTCCTTCCTCCCCACTAGTGGAGTAAAGATATCTTTAATGAATCTTCACACTGAGACCTTTTGTCCTCTTGCTCTATGTGGATGTTTGGGACTCTTGCACTGACTTCCACTCAAAGTTCATTTTTTAAAAACTATATGGATAGCCCACTGTTCCACCATCATTTGTTGAAAAGACTTCTTTTACCAATGAGTTCCCTTTCGCACCGTTATTAACATCAACTAACCATATGTGTATGGATCTATTTCTCTATTTATTCCATTGATTTATTTGACTATCTTGATGCCAATATCTCATTGTATTCATTACTGTAGCTTTATAATAAGTCTCAGAGTCCAGTAGTGCAACTTTTTTTAAAAAAATTGTTTCTTCTATTCTACGTCCTTTGCATTTCCATGTGAGTTTTAAATTCAGGTTATCAATTTCTACCAAAATGTCAGCTGAAATTTTTGTTGGGATTGTGTTGAATATATAGATTTGGGAACAATTGACATTTGAACAATAACAAGTCTTCTGATTCAAGAGTACAATATCTCTGTCCGTGTATTTAGGTCTTCTTTAATTATTCCCAGCAATGTTCTATAGTTTTCATACAGGTAAGCATACAGGTCTTTCACAGCTTTTGTTAGATTTATTCCAAAGTATTTTATATTTTTGATGCTATGGTAAGTGGCATTTCTTACATTTCAGTTCTGATTGATTGCCAACCTTCTGATTAACAGTCAAATGCCTTAGGCACCATGCCACCAGAACTCCTTGATTGTTGCTAGTACAAAAAAAAAAAATACATTGATCTATACCCTGCAATCTTGTTAAACTCTTATTAGTTCTAGTAGGTAGTTTGTAGATCCCGTAGATTTAATCAGACTTTCTATGTAGATGGTCATGTCTGTGAATAAAAGCAGTTTTCCCCTTCCTTTCCAATCTGGATATCTTTCATTTCTTTTTCTTGTTTAATTGCACTAGCTAGAACCTCTACTGCAAAGTTGATAGAAGTAGTGAGAAAGGACATCCCCATTTCATTTCTGATCTTGGCAGAAACAATTGGTCTTTTGTCATTAAGTATGATGGTGTCTGTGTGTTTCTTGTTAACGAAGTTTCCTTCTATTCCTAATGTGCTAAGAGTTGTTATCAGGAATAAATGTTGCACTTTGGGAACATCAAGCTTAATTGGCATAACATAGTACACAAAAACATTGTTCTACATCCTACTTTGGTGAGTAGTGACTGGGGTCTTAAAAGCTTGCAAGCAGCCGTCTAGATGCAACGATGGGTATACCTTGTCCGGAACAAAGATGAATGAAGAAAACCAAAGATGCATGAAAAAAATTAGTTCAAGGGACTGATAGACCATGTGATCCTCAGTCATATGATCATGAGACCAGAAGAACTAGATGGTGCCTGGATACCACAGTCAACCATACGGAGGGAGATCAGTGCAAGAGATCCTGGATAGAGTAGGAGAACAATATGGAACAAAACTCAAAATCATAAAAAAAAAAAAAAAGACCAGTTTTGCTGGTCTGGTAGAGACTGATGAGACCCCTGAAACTACGGCCCCTAGTGACCTTTCAGATCTGGAACTGAACTTACTCCTGTGGCTTCCATCCAAACAAGAAGCATGTGGGGTGAACGTTTACATCAGGTAGATACACTCCTTGGAGCGATCAATGGTTGGAGAATAGTGTCTGTCTGCACAGGGAGACAGCGGGGTGTGGGCAGAAGTACATGGGAGGGAAGGACACAGGGAAGAGGTAACTATGGGGAAGAAGTGGGAAGAGAGCTGTTACATTGTGAGGAATTGCAGTCAATGTCATGAAACAAATGTGTATGAACTGCTGTATGGCAAATGAATTAGCTCTGTAAACTTTCACCCAAATCACAATAAAAATTAAAATAAATAAACAGATAAATGTTGCATTTTATAGAATTATTTTTCTATAGAAATTGAGATGATCATGTAGCTTTTATTCTTTAGTCTGTTAATATGGTGAGTTTTGAATGTTAAATCAGTCCTGTATTTCTGGGATAAACTCCACCTGGTTATAATTTATTATGCTTTTTATATATTGTTGGATTTGATTTGTTAAAATTTTGTTAACATTCTTTAGATCTGTGCTTGTGAGAGATGTTATTCATATTTGTTTGGGTTTTTGTCCCCATAATATAGTTTTAGTCTTGTTTTGGTGTCAGAGTAACATTGGCCTCATAAAAGTAGTTGGTAAGAATTCCTTTCCATCCAATATTCTGAAAGACTTTATGTGGAATTTGCATTACTTTTTCTTTAAATGTTTGACAGAATAATCCAAGAAGCCACTTTGTCCTGCAGTTTTCTTGTGGGAGGATTTTAAACTACAAATTAAACCCCTTTAGTAGATATAGGTCCATTCATGTTAATCTATTTCTTCTTGAGTGAGCTTTGGCAGATATGATCTTGCAAATAATTTATTGATTTCACCTAGGTTGTTGTATATATTGGCATAAAGTTGTTAAAAATTTTAATATGTATAAAATCTGTAATGTCATCTCTCTCATTCCTGATATTTGTCATTTTTTTCCTAATCACTCTGACTGCAGGTTTATCAATTACATTGATCTTCTCAAATAATTGTGGTGTTTCTATTACAGCTGTTGTTGTTGTTACATGCCATCGAGTTGGACCTGACTCATAGTGACCCCCCCTTGGGTTTCCGAGGCAGTATCACTATGGAAGCAGATTGCCCAACCTTCCTTCCGAGGAGTGACTGGTGGATTTGAACCACCAGGCTTCTGGTTAGCAGTCAAGTGCCTTAGGCACTATGCTACCAGAGCTCCTTCTATTAAATCAGTACTAAGAAACTAAGACCACATCTTAACATTAAGTCTTCCAGTCCATGAATTTGAGATGTCTTTCCATTTATGTAGGTCTTCTTTAATTTATCTCAGCAGTGTTTTATAATTTTCAGTGTACAAGTCTTTCATATCCCTGGTTAAATCTATTTCTAAATTTTATTCCTGTAGATACTATTGTAAATGGAGCTGCTTTCTTAATTTCCTTTTCAGCTTGATTGTTCATTGCTAGTATATAGAAACAACTGATTTTTTGCATGTGTGTTTTGATCTTGACCATGCAACTCTGCTGACTTCATTTATGAACTCTAGTAACTTTTTAATGGGTTTAATGGGGTTTTCTACATATAGGATCATATTATTTGCAAATAGAGATAATTTTCCTTCTTCCTTTATGATTTGATTGCCTTTTCTTTCTTTCTTTCCTAATTTCTCTGGCTAGAACCTCAGTACAATACTGGATATCAGCTGTAAAAGCAGGCATCCTTGTCTTGTTCCTGATATTAGAAGAAAAGCTTTTTGTCTTTCCACATTGAGAATGATGTTCACTATTTTTTCAATTCAATTGTTTTTCATAAATGCCCTTTATCATGTTGAAGAATTTCCCTCCTGTTCTAGTTTGTTGAGTGTTTTCATTATGAGAAGTATTAGATTTTATCAAATGAGTTTTCTGCATTGTTGAGATGATAATGTGATTTTATTTTCTTTGTTCTATTAATGTGATATATTACATTGATTTTCTTATGTTGAACTACCCTAAATTCCTGGATGCTATAATGTGAATAGTGCCTCTCTCACCCACAAAAGATGTGTTGAAGTCCTAACCTCTCTGTACCTGTGAATATGACTTTTTTGGGGAAATAGGGTCTTTCTTGAAGATATTATCAGTTAAGTCACACCAGTAGGATAAGTCCTAGTCCTAATCCTTTTGCATGGTGTCTTATAAAAGGGGAGAATAGATGTGGAAAATCACATATTCAAGGAGGAAACAACATACGAAGATTTTTCTACAAACCAAGGAATGCCAAGAAGCACCTGGGCCTTCCAGGAAGAATCTTCCCTTAGAGCCCACATAGACAGAGCCTAGCTCTGTCAGCGTCCTGAATTCAGACTTGTAGGCTCCAGAACTGTAAGAAAACACATTTCTGTTCTTTAAGCCACCCACTTTGTGGTATTTTATTAAGTACAAGGAAGCTAAGAAACTAGGATAAATTTCACTTGGTCATGGTGTCTAATCCTTTTAATATACTGTTGGATTAGGTTTGCTAGTACTTTGTGGAGAATTTTTCCATCTACACTCATAAAGGATTTTGGTCTGACTTTTCTTGTGGTGTCCTTCTGTGGCACTGGTGTCAGGGTAATGCTGGCCTCATAGAATAAGTTAGGAAATGTTCCTTCTTTTATTTTTTGGAAGAGTTTGAGAAGGATTAGTGTTAATTCGTTAAATATTTGGTAGAATATTTGGTCCTGGACTTTTCTTCATTGAGATATTTGTGATTACTAATTCAAACTCTTCACTTACTGTAAGTGTACCGAAATTTTCTGTTTCTTCATAAATCAGGTTAGGTAGTTTATGTGTTTCTAGGAATTTGTCCATTTCATCTAGGTTATCTAATTTGTTAGTGTATAATTGCTCATAGTATTTTCTTATAATCTGTTTTATTTTTGTAGGATTAGTAGTAACGTCCCACTTTCATTTCTGATTTCCAATCATTTCTCTTTTCTTTGTCTGTCTACCAAAAGTTTTGTTGATTGATCTTCTCAAAGAAACAATTTTTGGTTTTGTTCATTCTATAATTTTTACTGTTCTTTATTTCATTTATCTCCACTCTAATCTATTATTTCTTTCCTTATGGTAACTTTGGGCTTACTTTGCTCTTCTTTTTCTAGCTCCTTGAGGAGTAACATTTAGTTATTGATTTGAAATCTCTTTTCTTTTTTAATGTAAACATTTAGAGCTATAAATTTTCCTCTGAGCACTGACTTCACTGCATCCTATAAGTATTGATATGATGTGCTTTCTGTTTCATTGATCCAACTTACAGCCACCCTATATGACAGAGCAGAATTGCCCCATAGAGTCCTAGGCTGTAATCTTTGTGGGAGTAGATCACAAGTCTTTTCTTCTGCAGAGTGGCTGGTGGATTTGAGCTACTGATCTTTTGGTCAGCAGCTGAGTTCTTAACTATAGCACCATCGGGGCTCCTTAAAGTCTGCCTAGTAAGTCCATTATCTGGGCTTCCATGAAGATAGTTTCTATCACTTTTTTTTTTTCTTTTGAATAGGCCATCCTTTCTGTTTCTTTTGTATGCATTGTGATTTTTTGTTGAAACCAGGATATTTGAATATCAAAATGTAATAATTCTGTGAATCATATTCTTCCTGTTCTCTACATGCTATTTTTTTTGTTGTTGTTTGTTTGATTGAACTGTTGAAGTCTATAGTCATCTTTTTTGTTTTGTGACTTCCTCTAACTATTTTTGAAAAATTGCTTTCCTGACACATGTGTGGAGCTCTGGTGGCATGGTGCCTAAGACATTTGACTACTCACCAGAAGGCTGGCGGTTCAAACCCAAGGAGAGGTAGGTAAGAGTCAAACGGACTCAATAGCAGTGAGTTTTTTGTTTGTTTGCTAGGCATATGTGGACTCTGCAGTCTCTGTTCCTTAGCCTACATTCAGTGATTTGAGACATCTCCTTGAACATCAGGAATGGGATGGGGTGGGATCTCTCCCAGTCTTGAAAATTGGCTCTGTGTCAGGGCCCTCCTTCAGCACTTAATCAGGCTTATGCTGAGTTTAAGGACTAGCCCAAGGTGAAAGTATAGGGTCTTCTCAGATAATTTCTGAGCATGCATCATGTTCTTGGTATGCCCGTGTCAATTCTCTCGTATATGCTGTACTTTTGAAAGCTTTAATTTCCAGAAAAAAAAACTTCTCCTCCCAGCTTCTTTTACGAGTCTTTATGTGTCCATTATATGCCTTAAACCCACTCTTAATCCAAGGAGACTACAGGCAGTTACAACCTTCATGTTTTGCCCATTGCAGCTCAGCCCCGCATAATGGATCAAACCAAGATGAGTTGCCTGCTTCAGATCTTAGGAGTGGCTGGGGGTGTTTGAACCACCAGCCTTCTGGTTAGCAGTCAAATGCCTTAGGCACTGCACCACCAGAGTTCCTTACCAAACAGGTTAGAAAACACAAAATAATTTGCAAATAAAAATCTCCTTCTATGGGCTCTGGTGGTATAGTGGGTAAAAGCATTTAACTGCTAACCAAAAGTTTAGCTGTTTGAACCTATCAGCAGCTCCAAGGGAGAAAGATGAGTGGTCTGCTTCCATAAAGATTAACAGGTTTATAAACTCTACAGGGGTCGCTATGAGTTGGCACTGACTCAGTGTCAGTGTGACACTCCCTCTAGATTCAGAGACCAGGCTCCCTTTCTTGGAATGTGGGCCATTGCAGCTTCAAGATGGCACACAGAGCTGAGGATGGTGTGGGGTATAGGTGAGCAGAAAACCAAAGTTCTCTTACTATTTAGATGTTGGCTTTTTCTTGATTCAGTGTTCACTTAGTTGCTGCAACTTTTGGTTTCTAGAGTTCTGACAAAGTTGGTTCTGTTAATTTCTTCTTTTTCTTTGTTGTTGTTGTTTTGGAAGCATGGGAGCATGCAGCTGCAGAGGTTGCATCTTGCTCTGGACCTAACACATTTATATTTCACATGATTATTTTTATATGTGACTATTTATTTATTTACTTTTTATTGTCATTTGGGTAAAATTTTACAAAGTAGACTCATTTACATTCAACAGTTCATACACGTTTTGTTTTGTGATACTGATTACTTTCCCCTGGTGTAACAGCTCTCTCCCCACTTCCTCCCTGTGGTTACCCTTGCCCTCTGTCCTTCTTGCCTAGGCATTCCTGCCTCCCCACTCCTTGTGCAAATGCTGCCCTTCTGATCTCCCATGGTTGATTTTTTCAAGATGTACATCTCCCTGGTATAGTTGCTGGCTTATAGGCCTGTCTGTTGTTTGGCTGAGAGGTAAGCCACAGAAGTGAATTTAATTCCAGGCCCAAAGCATGACTTGGGGCCATAGTCTTGGGGGTTTCACTAGTCTCTATCCAACTGTATATAACTGGATTTAAATCTACCGTTTGGCTACTTGTTTTCTTTTTGTTCCATCTGTTCTTTGTTTCCTTTTCTAGCTTTTTCTGTCTACTTTTGGACTAAGTGAGTATATTTTATAATTGCTTTTTATTTCTTTTCTTAACTTATTTGCTATACTTGTGTTGTTTAAGTGATTATAGTATACATAACTGAAACTTTTGGTAGATTACCTTCAAGGGAGGTTATAGTGTTTCAGGTATAATATAAGAATCTTAACAAAAGTACAGTTCCACTTCTCCCTTCCTAGCTTTTGTGCTATTGTTGACATATTTTATTTCTACATGTGTTGTAAAGTTCACAGTATGTTGTTGTTGTTGATATTAAAACCTAGGAAATCTTATGGGGTTATTGTCTTTTAAAGAGATTGCAATGTAAGAAAAGGAGTCTTTATATTTACCTACGTAAGTACGATTTCTAGTACTCTTCATTCCTTTCAATAAATCCAGATTTTTATCAGGTGTCATTTTCTTTCTGCCTGAATGGCTTCTTTTTAACATTTCTGGTAATGCAAGTTTGCTGGTGATTAATTCTTTCAGCTTGTGTATATCTGAAAACTTCTTTATTTTACTTTCATTTTTGAAGGATTTTTTTTTCAACATAAAAAATTTTAGGCTGATGTTTTTTTTTTTCTTTCGGTACAAGCAATCCCAGGGTTATGAACAAGATCTGTTGCTAACTCTATCTTTAAGTTGAATTTGTATTTAAGTCAGAACAGATACATAGGATTCTTATTTAGCATCAGTAAGTTAAATGTTTGTCTTAGTATTGAGAGACAGTCTGGTCTACATTAAATATTTGGTCTGGCAAATAACTTCCCTCCTCAATAATTTTTTTCAATGTTTCAGGAGAAGCACTTGTAGCACTTGCATCAGCACTCACTGCTTAACCTCGCACTTTAATATTACGTAAATTTGCCCTGACTTTGAAACGATTGAACCTACCCCTACTCCCAACAAATTCTTCATCACAATCACCTTCACTTGCTGTACATGCAGCTTGGAGCCATTTCTTGCACTAAAATAAGGCTGGGAGCTCTGGTAGCATAGTGGCTAAGACACTTGCCTGCTAACCAGACAGCTGGTGGTTCAAACCCACCAGCCACTCCTCGGAAGGAAGGTTGGGCAATCCTACTTCCGTAGTGATACTGCCTCGGAAACCCAAGGAGGGGTCACTATGAGTCGGGTTTGACTCGACGGCACATAACAACAGCAACAAAGTAAGGCTAATAGGCAAATTATGCTGATTTTGATCATCCAAGCAAATTATCTCACCACTCGTCTGTCAGTTTGTTGTACTGTGCTGATTTGCATGTAGCTGTGATGCTGGAAGCTATGCCACTGGTATTTCAGATGCCAGCAGGGTAACCCTTGGTGGCTGTTTCAGAGGAGCTTCTAGACTAAGACAGACAGGGAAGAAGGACAGAGGCATCAATTTCTGAAAAAAAAAAATGGCTACTGAAAACCTTATGAATAGCAGTGAAACATTGTCTGATATATTACTGGAAAACTTTATGAAAAGCAGTGAAACATTATTCGATATAGAACTGGAAGATGAGCCCCTCAGGTTGGAGGGCACTAAAAATATAACTAGGGAAGAGCTGCCTTCTCAAAGTAGAGTTTATATTATCATGGGGATGCAGTAAATCTTTCTGGACCTTCATTTGCTCATGTGGCACAACTGAAAATGAGAAGAAACAGTTGCAAACATCCATTAATAATCAGAACGTGGAATATACGAAGTATGAATCTAGGAAAATTTAAGTGGTCAAAAATGCATTAGAATGCGTAAAGATTGATATCCTAGTCATTGTTATTGTTGTTATGTGCCGTCGAGTTGGACCCGACTCTTAGTCATTTAGTCAGCTGAAATGGACTGGTATTGGCCATTTTGAATCAATAATCATATGATCTACTATGCCAGGAACAACGGGAACCACAGGTTGAAAAGGAATGGTGTCACATTTATCATCAAAAAGAACATTTCAAGATCTATTATGAAGTAAAATGCTGTCAGTGATAGGAGACTATCCATATGCTTACAAGAAAGACTGATTAATACTACTTTTATGCAAATTTATGTACCAACCATTAAAGCCAATAGATGAAGAAATTGAAGATTTTTACCAACTTTTGCAGTCTGAAATTGACCAAACATGCAATCAAGATGTATTGATAAATACTGGTGATTGGGATGCAAAAGTTGGAAATAAAGAAGATGCATCAGTACTTGGAAAATATGGCCTTGGTGATAAAATAACACCAGAGACCATATGATAGAATTTTGCAAGACCAATGACTTATTCACGGTAAATACCTTTTTTCAACAACATAAATGGTGACTATACACATGGACTTCACCAGATGGAATTTTGCAGGAATCAGTTCAACTACATCTGTGGGAAGAGGTAATGGAAAAGTTCAATATCATCAGTAAGAACAAAGCCAGGAGCTGACTGTGAGACAGACCATAAATTGCTCAGATGCAAGATCAAGTTGAAGCTGAAGAAAATTAAAACAGGTTCACAAGAGCCAAAATATAACCTTGCAGTATATCCCACCTGAATGTAGTAATCATTTGAAGAATAGATTTGACACAATTAACAAGAATTACTAAAGGCCAGAGAAGTTGTGGGAGGACATTAAGAACATCATATACATGAAGAAAGCAAAAAGTCATTGAAAAACAGGGAAGAAAAAAAAGACCAAGATAGATGTTAGAAAGGACTCTGAAACTTGCTTT